TTCTTCTTCTTCTTCTTCTTCTTCTTCTTCTTCTTCTTCTTCTTCTTCTTCTTTTCCCAACTGTTGGAATAGCAAGTTACCCTTTGGCCCGATTTTTCTGAATTGTCTACATTTCGTCACAACAAAATTCACAGCAAAATCGAGAGGTGTTACTTTGGACTCAGTAGTTCTGCATAAGATCTGTGAGACCCACATCTATGGTGAGACCGCACATGCACTTTAACCGGTCTCGCCACCCTCCCCCCTACTGCACACACCAAATAGATAGTTGAATAGAATTGAATACGCCCGTCTTTCACTGTAGTCACAACTGCAACATATATGTTGTGGAATCAAGCTTATTCTTGCAAAGGTTCGAGCCTCAGCTCTGTCCGACGTTGTGTCCTTGGGAAAGGCACTTTACACGAAATTCCCATTTGGCTCGGTCCTTTCAGGGACGGACGGTAAACTCGGAGGTCCTACCTCTTAAATAACCTAACAGAGTGTTGATAGGGGCGTCAAACCTAAACCATTTCACCATTTTCATTCTTACAAATTAGCTTTTATATTTTTTCCCAATAGATTCTCGAGCCAAATCGATTGGCTCCGATTGTTAAAATTTAAATGTAACCTACATTGCCCAGCTCGCAGATCGTACATGGGTGACTGATGGCGTCAGTGGCCTAGTGGTTAGGCTACCAGACCTGTAATCGTGAGATTTCGGGTTCAAGTGTTCGAGCCTCAGCTCAAACCGACTTTGCGTCCTTGGGAAAGACACTTTTATAAGAATTTTTCCCATTAGGCTCCGTCCTTTCGGAGATGGACTTACACTCGGAGGTCCCGCTTCTTAAATAACTTAATAGTGTTGATAGAGACTTTAAACCCACACTATTTCATTAATTTCAGGTGCAGTTGGTCGGGTCGCTGCTGCAAGATAGAATCTAATTCTACACTTTCTCTTTGTCCTTTCTGTCTGTTAGTTTTGCTTTTGCCCTGTCAGAAATAACCGCCAAACCTGTCGACGAGTGTCTCTTTACTATAAATCAACACTAGATGCACACGTAATTATAAGGTTTTACCGGCACGGTTGGTTGAGATGCGCTCCAGGCACTAGCCATGCGTCATCATCTGACGTCATCACTTGTGGCACAAAGTAACTCCGACCACAGGAACCTGGGGTTTGAGGAAGGGAAAAAAG